TCCAGGCCGCCATTGTCCCAAATGGATTAGCCCCTCTGCAACCTGGCAGAGAGATTTGTCATCCCGCCTCCCGCCAGGAGTGGCTAATCTATTGTGGACAACGGCGTGATAGGAAGGTTCCGTCAAGTGCGCATCCAATATTTCCACTTGTGGGGGGGGGTTATTCGTATTCATATATGGATGCCCCCATCTCTAGTTGACTTTCATGAGCAGAAGTTCCCTGTCCCTAGGTAATTGACAGCGGCATTTGTTAAGTTGTTGTCAGTTTTGGGAGTGCAGCCTAGGAGGCCCTTGGTTGTTGAAGAACAAGATTGTAGCTCTTGCTGGATTGCTGACATGTGTGGTGGGTTGGGTGTTGATTGCCTAGCAAAGTTCAAGGTATGCCTCATGTGCTGTGCCTGCAAGCAGGGCCAGGGGCTCATTTAACCCTCCAGATAATGTTAATCTAAAAATTCATTCATTTTTAAGTTTTAGCCATGTTCGCTGGGACTTATAGGTGTCAGGGCACAAACTAGAGGGCCACCTGTTCCCTGGTGTTCCCTCATACAACCTGTGGAGGCACACTTTGGCTTGCCAGATCTAAAGAGCAACGTAGTTACACCTGTGTATCCAAGAAAGCTTTAGGCATGCTTTAGAATGCTTTGACTAAGGTCTTTGGCATGCACAAGAGCATAGGCCAGCATTTAAGAATCAGAAATGCCCGAAGGTACAGTTTCATCATGTCTGGCTGTTGCTTTCTTTATAGCTTAAAGCTTAAGAGCCTTTCATTTATCTGCTTAGACAGGAAAACTGCAGAAAATATTCCCAATTCAAACAAAGTTAAGGCTGTAATTCTCTCCACACTTTCCTAGAAACAAGCCACATTGAGACCATGTGGGGGTTCCTTGTATGTAGACAGATCGAAGATTGGACAGTGAAGCCAAGTTAGATGTTTCTAAGCAGTCTATTCATATTTAGACTTCCCAGAACTCTGTAAGAACTGATGTGCAATAGATAGATAAATACACAGAAAAAATTTAAATCGTGAAAGTTTAAAAAGTTGAAAAGACTTTTTGGGATCTCTCAAGGATCAATTAAAACATAATTCACTATCTATGTAAACACACAAACACGTGCACATACACACATTCAAGGACCATATGGTATCTTTTCAGAAACACCTAGTTAGTTAATTGCATGTTAAATTCCTTTCCTGTTCTCTAGTATAAATTACCACAACAATATTTATATTTCTTGTCTTGCTGGGTTTATTTATGACTTGGTTATAAAAAGCCGCAAAGTGTTATAAATTGAAACCTTTAACCTTTTGTTTGACTCACATTTTAAAATCTCAGCGGCTTTTTTTCAAACTTCTCCATTCCTTATTTCAAAATATCCTGCTCAGATTCCTTGTGAACCTTCTGGTTCACAACCTACTGTATTTTTGTTCACAACCTATTTTTGAACAAAAAGAGAAAGGCATATTGGCTTATTCCACCCATATTGTTAGGGAACATTTAAGAAGGATATTTTTTTTTCTTCCTGCTGTAGTGAGGGATGATAAAGATCCAGGGGGCCTTTTCTGTGCCAATACTAAGTACTGGCATTCAGGCATAGTGGCCTGTTTTGTGGCATTCGGGTCTACTCCTTCTCCTTGTGACAATGGTAAGTGAACAGCTTAGACTCTGAGACTAAGGTAATATGCAGCGATGCCCGGGGTAGAAGTCATTTTAACTGCATTTTCTGCATTAGAAAATGTTGTAGTCCATTAAGACAGCTACTGGCTACTTTAGCCATGATGAGAACAATTTTGTACATGCACTTATACAAAAAAATTGATAATGTCAGAACAACATGGCTGAGTTAGAGCACAGGAAACGATATTCTTGTTTTCTGATGGAATGCTGAGCCGGGTGGAATTTTGAGAGACCATTTTCTCTCTGGGTAGTTCACTGAATGGATCGGTTTTATTTCACTTTCAGGAATCCCCAAAAAGGGCCATTTTTTTTCCTATTGAGAATTGCTCCTTGCCAACAACAGTGGGTTTAAATTGTTTATTTATTTGTAATTTAACTTGTTTTTACAATTTGTGCATTTGTTCACTTGCCCAAGGCAGGCATCTATGGTGTAATTCAGCTTGTTCATTCCTGCTTTCTTTAGAATTACTGTACATATGTGAATGTCCTTTGATATGGACTAGATAAGCCTTAGCTATAGTAGTCTGGGTATAAATATGGATGTGTGACTACATGCAAACGCTGTATGCTTTAGGCTCTTGAGTACCAACCTTAGGTGCCTGGTGTGGGTTAGCGAATAGAGTGATGGGGTCAGGAGACCTGGACTCAAGCCTCTGCTTAGCCATAGAAGCTCACAGGGGTATGGGTGGCATTGGTAAATCACTCCTTAAACATCTCACTAACCTTGAAAACCCTGTAAGACTGCATTTTGTTAGACCTTTGCTAGAAGCAGCCTGTGTTGGTGAAACAATAGGGAAAATATTTGGTAAGGGTCAGATTGCCTCTCAGTGCAAGACTCTGTGAAACATAGCTACCTTACCTTTGCTAGTAAAGTGCTCTTCCAGCTTTATAGTGATATTGTGTGCTGTTGCATGTAGGCATGTTTGCTTTTAAAATTATTGTGGAAGTATTCAAATGAATGATTACGTTTTACTCAAAATCCTATTGATATTAATTACTTGTAGTTTTCTTCCTGACTCAAATAGTTGGAGGCCGATTCTGAAGATACTACTGTACACTGATGTTCCACAACAGCTGGTGTTATTTGCTTCTATATAAAAGCGTTGTGATTGAGTTTCATTGTAAATCATCAGGTTAATTCAGGCTGATTGTTTTGTGTAACTTGGAAGACAGCACGTTGTTTTTCTAACAGATGGATCATTCTATTTCTTTAAATATATTTTTTTCTTTAAGGAGTTGATTGTGAAGATCTAAAGATAAAGTACAAAGGTTTTCTAAAATTACAGCTGAATTTTTCTGAAAGATGTAGACTTCTTCTGTTTCAGAAATAAACACTAATAGGATTTTTTTCATCCAACTCCTGAAAAACAAATGCCTTTTTCCAGTCTTAGGACAGCAATGGATTTATTTGTACAGTGGTGCCTCGCTTAGCGATGTTAATTTGTGCAGAAAAAAATCACTGCTAAGCGATAACATTGCTAAGCGGAAATAAAAAGCCCACAGAAACACATTAAAACACGATTAATGCATTCCTATGGGCTTAAAACTCACCTTTAAGCGAAGATCCTCCATAGCGCCGCCATTTTCAGTGCCTCTAAAGCAAGGAATCTGTGCCTGAAAACAGCGGG